CACAGTCTACTTGTCGTGTTCCTAACAAATCTAAATGCAGTGTTGAAGGTTTATCTGTTCTTTGAGAACCTATCAGGTAAATGTGGTACAACTTGTTCTCAGGCTCGGAGACCAAGTCCATTACCAAAAACTTCTCAGATGCTAACAACATAAGCCATAATTTTCTATTCTTAGGGAACTTATATACTAATAATTAAAGGGAAATATAACTCATGAGTGAAATATTAAGTACTATCATATTTAAGTGGAAATTCAACATAATAAAAATATGACATGAGCCGTAGTAGACAGTTGTCAGGAGGGTGATTCAGATGAAATTTTTTAAGTTTAGAGGAGAGAAATGGATAAAGTTCAGAGAGTCAGTCTGTCCACAGAATGGTCTAGACACTGATGCTAAAGAGCTAGTCTAAGGCTGTTTTTTCTCTAAGATACATTTTTTAAATCCTGTGAGTCTTGGGTTGGCCAAATAGCTCAGTGGATCAAAGCGCCTGCTTAGGCAGACTGAGTGGCCAGGGTTTGATTCCTGGGGTGCCATGTCTACCCACCCATGGGGCCTGCTGCTACGGCCATTGAGACTGGGCACACCTGTAATTTCAGCTCTTCTGAGGCTAAACACAGGGGGATCACTATGAGTCTGATCTACATAGTGAGACTCTGTAGACCCTGTACAAAAATACAAAAAAAAAAAAATCCTATGAGTCTTATATTTTATATAAAACTGTAGACTTTGGTGGAGAGTCTCTGGCAGTCCTGCTCAGATACATTTAAATAACTGATCATTTTGGGGGCATATGGAAGCTAGCCACCTCCCTTAGTGTTCCAGAGTTCCTTTGGTCCCTTGAGGAATGAGTAGATCTGAGCTCTTAAACCTGTTTTCTCATGGAGATAGGGATGGTGTTGTCTGCCTTCATTTTTGTGAAGGTTAAGCAGGGTGGTGAAATGCAGTGCTCAGTAGATGCCCAGACCTTCAGTTCATGTCCGTGGAATATCCTCCGTGGATAGGACACCAACAGCTTGATATAAGCCATAGTCCAAGAGAACCTCTCAGAAGCAGGGCTTTTAACCCTGTTTTCTGCAAGGTTGCTTGAGCCTCCCTGAAGTTCTGGTGCTATAGTGTGAGGGTGTGGATCAGGGATTGTGTAGCTGCTCACCAAGACAGGTGCTGGGCATCTCAGAGCAGAGGACAACAGGATGGTGGCCTTCCCTCCCTGCTTTCACCAGTATTTTCAGGGAAGCAGTGAGCTGCAAGGACTCATCAGAACACCAGGCTTGAATTTCCTGTAGATTCCTATATTGCTGTTTGGCAAGTTACTTCCTGTGCCTTGTTTTCCTTGTCTAATAGACAGTGATACATTCGTGTGTGTGTGTGTGTGTGTGTGTGTGTGTGTGTGTGTGTATTTTAGGGGAAGGTCTACAGAGTGTTCAGTCTCACTACTAGATTGGACTCATAGTGATCCACCTATTTACAACCTCCCAAGAGCTGGGATTAGAGGCATGCACCACCATGCCCAGTATCAGTTGCCATTGCAGCGTGCCCTGAGGGTGGGGCCGGCACAGCAGGCCCAGGGATCGAACCCTGGCCCTTGTGCCTGCTTGCAGGCACTTTAATCCACTGAGCTATTTGACTAGTCCCCTAGTGATATAAAGGTCAAAATGAGTTGCTGCATGTAGAGTGGATACTACAGTTGCTGGAATGTAAAAATTGCTCAATAAATGTTATTCATAACAGAAAAGAAATTACTGGGCTTCTGGTGTATGCCCCATGCTCAGCCTACATTAGGAGTAGTTGGATGCAGTGATAATGTTGGTAACATGTGACATTCGTTCAGTGCTTACTGTATTCCCAGCTTGATAAATTCTCCTTAGGTCCTTGCAGCCATGTGAGATAAGTGGCACTGTGGTCCCAGGAGACTGAGATAGTGAAGGTCATCTAATAGGCTTGCTCTCTGACTTCGTGGTCTAATGGGGGACATAGACACACAAAACAGATGGTTATATATAGGGTGACTCACAGATGCCCACTCGGTAAACTCTCATCCCCTCTTTTTCCTTTTTCCTTTTTTCATTTTGTCCCAAGAGGGTGGCATTATCTTTGCAATCTGCAAACAAACTGTTCACAGCATGGGTGTGATCTGTGTGACATTTCTGTAGCTCTTTCCTGGTCACCAACCCCAGGTGAGCCCTGAGCTGGGGAGAGGGTTGTTCTCCTGTTGGCATGCTGTCCTCTGACCCGTGGGGCTTGCTAGCAGGAATGTGCCATTGAGTTGTGAGGCTAGTGCTGTCTGTCTGGTAATTTCTCATTCTGAAAAGACCTGTTCTTTTCTGCCTTTAGGCTTGGCAACCTTGTTTTTTCTGCAGTCTTCTACCACCATTGAGGATGTAAGTAGCACAGGAAGCATTATGATTTGATGTCTGCCTCTCTGGGTTTTTTTTGTTTGTTTGTTTGTTTCAAATTGTTATATAACAAGAAAAGGGGACTGCGAAGATGGCCCATCATGAACCCAAAGACTTCAAATGCCAGAGTTAAAATAACTGTAGGAGGTAGAAGCCCACCTTGAAACTCGTGGGTGTGGCGAAGCCTGAAGCTCCATGAGCAGAGCTTCCGACCGCAGCCTCCCAGATCATCCAGTTTGTCCCTCGCCTGGGGCTGGGGCGGGGGCTGTTGTGAATGCTCTGGAGGTAGCCAGGGCCTTGGCCTTACTGCCTGAGCATCAGAGGCAGGGGTGGGGCTCTTGTCACAGTAACCTCCTTCAGTGGATAAACTACACTGCAGACTCAGCTAGCCTGCAGAAGCACTTGCTCAGTAACAGCTCTGAGTGGTTTGGGGCCCCTGACTGGTAGGGGGAGCACCCGCACCTGGGGCGAAATCTGAGCGGCGTGAGTGGGCCTCAGGGATGATGGGGCTGAACTCCTTGTATGCAGGCCAGAACGTTTATACTTCACAGGCACACTCCAGTGTGAGGCCCAGATGCATCGAAATACAAAATCGCCTTCGTCTATGGAGATGGCCGAGCTGGGGAGATGGCTCAGTACAGTAAGTGCTTGCCTGGCAAGCACAAGGTCCTGAGTTCAAGCCCCAGGACTGTAAAAATACATATATAAATAAATAAAGAGATGGCCGACTAGTGATGCAATAGGTTTGTGGGGGCCATTTAACTCTCCCAACAGATAACATGCCTGTCTGAAATCTGAGGACAGGCAGAAGGTAAAGCCCTCTTAGGGGAGGAAGAATTGCTTTGAGTGGATTCTTCCCCATGCCTGGGGAACATAGATGTTAGTTACTCTACAGTAAGAAGGGACTCTGGAGACAAGGCTGAAGGAAACCCTCTTGGATGCTCGTGCTAACTACCAAGCATGGCCTGAGATGAGTTACTATCTCAGGATCTGCTAGGTTTATTCTGTGATCATCTTTCTAAAGGTGTTTATAAAGGTGAGAGCCAGGAAGACCCCTTTCAAATTGGGCATTTAGCCACTATAATCTGGTATTTAGAGGCACCCTGGCTGTGGGAAACACTTAAAAACTAAGAGTTGATGGGCCCCCAAAATAGTCCACCAAATATACTTAAAAGGAAGGTAGTCCAGGCGGCCTGGAAAAAACAAGTAGTGCTGAGTGCTTCAGCCGTGCAGAGCCAGGAGTCGTGGCGGGTAACATGGGTCGTCACTGACCTGCAGAGGACTCTGCTCTCCGGCACAGGATGCGGCAGGTATGTGTAGCTGCCCATTCCTACAGCTCACCTCCGCTTCCCAGATGGGAGACCAGGGGCAGAAAGTCAGCAGGAAAACTAGTTTCTCTGTCTGCAGAAGAGGCAGCTATGATTGGAGATGAAGGCATCAAGTCTATATTGGCTGCTTATACATTGACTTATGAAAGTTATCATTGCAAACGCTTGACCTAGGTTGAAAAAACACAGAGAGTTTTAGGAAGCAGGGTAACAGCATAGTGAAAAGGAGATTACTAGGGAGTGGAGACAGGCGAGGGAAATTCTTACTTTCAAATACAAGGGAAAACTCCAGGAATTTGAGCCATCAAGGAGCACCTCTATGATCTTTTTGACGTTACTAAAATTGGACTCAATCTCCAGACTTTCTCAAAATGGAACAAAGCACAAATCAGTTTCTCTCCCCGACTTTCCCATTTTTCTTAATGGGTGTGCATGTCCATTTGAGCAGAGTCCAAAATCTATAAAGAGCCTTCTGGTACTGTCTGCCCACCCTTCTCCCTGTCCAGGCCTGGGAGCCCTTGTCAGTCTCACCTGGGCCCTTCTCTGGGCTCTGTCTGTGTGTCTGCCATCTGTCTGTGTCCAAGCTGCCAAGCGCTGTGACCTCTGCGCACCACCCCTCACAGAGGCTCCACTGGACTCGAGACTCTGAGGGAGTCTGGCCGTGGCCCAGGAAGGTGCCTGTGCATCTCTTTCGTGCTCTCCTGCACAGCTGGCTCCTGCATGTGCTTTGCTTTGGCTTGCTTCCTCCCCTCGCCCCTGCCAGGTGATCCTCGCCATGGGCCCTGTGCTCTAGCTGGCCCCTTGCCTCAGTACACCCTTCCTCCACTCCCTTGCCCCTTCTGCTAAGCCCTTCATTCCTTCTTGTCTGTCATTTAGATTTCAGATTAAATCTGTGCCTCTCCGAGACTTTCCCCGACCTCTGAATCAGAAGTAAGCACTCAGTCATTCCATTCCTCGGAGAGTACACCTTACATTTTGATACTTGGCTTTGTTTTATTGTTTGCTGGTTTGCCTGTCTCTTTCTCCTCAGAAATCAGCTTCTGAGAACAGGTACCTCGTCTTTATTGCTTGCTGTCTCACCAATAGCCATCAGGGAACACAGTAAAGACCTGTGGAATGAATGATCAAACCTGCTGATCAGCTGATGATTGATAAGCTTGTTGGTGACCTCTCACCATGGAAGTCACTGACAGTGTGTACACAGTGTTGAGGGGGGCGTCCTCCCTCCTTCCACTGCTGCCACTAAGGCCTGATCGCCCGTCTTCTGTTTCCTTGCAGCCGCCCATGCCAGCTTCCGTTCCCGTCAACAGTGCAGCAGCACAGCCCCATGTCCTCTCAGACCTCATCCATCAGTGGGCCCCTGCACTCCGTCTCCTTGCCGCTACCACTCCCAATGACCCTGGTGACTCAGCAGCCCCCTCCCACTCCCTCCCCTAGCCAGCAGCTTGGTCCGGATGCCTTTGCGATTGTGGAGCGGGCCCAGCAAATGGTGGCGATACTGACAGAGGAGAACCGGGCGCTTCACCAGGAACTGCAGGGCTACTATGACAATGCCGACAAGCTCCACAAGGTATGTGACTGTCGGCGCAAGGGATGGAGAAGCTGCATTGGAAGAAAGGGATTCCTTATCTGCTCATGCACATAGGTTCATTGATTTATTTGCATGTAAAGGTTCAGAGGGACAAGAGTAAATTGCAGCCCAGGGCCTGCTCTGGGGGGCTCGTATCCAGAAGAAGAGAGAGTTATGCAAGCTAATGCCTGCATGGGGAGAGTCCAGGGCTTCCAGTAGGCCCAGGGAAGGTGACTCCTGACCAGGGAGGTCGATGCTGAGTAGGATATCCCCAGGTGGAGAGGCGTGGAGAGGAAGCACAGTAACGTAACGTAGGAGGAGGAGTTGTGAGAGATCACTTAAATCGGTTACCCTCGCTTGTCATGTTGTCTCATTCACTAACTGCAGAAGGCAGCACCGCCTCAACCCTGGAGGTCGCAAGCGTGGGCTGCAGCCTACCTTCCTTCTGTTTGCCCCTTGTCTGGTGGAAAGAGGCTGAGTAGTTCCAGCTCACAGGGTTATGGTGGAGGTGCCAGAATGTGTGGCAGACCTCATTTTTAGACCTTTATTCTCAGAGCTGAAGTAAAGAAATATCATTGAGTAGAAATAAGCTGCTGCTGGGCAGAGATTTCCCAGTGGCCCATCCAGTAGCTTCTGCTGCGCTGCTGGAAAGATGCAAGAGGAAGGAGTGGGTTGTTTCATTTCTGGGTCAGAGAGGCAGGTAGTGGTGATCTTATGAGTCTAAATGCCTGACTCTCTCTGGTCATAAGAGACTTTCATAAGGAGAAAGGGTAGGAATATAAAAGCCACCCGGCCACAAAAGCATTCCATTGCCCATTGGCTTCATGTGGTCTTTGATAATCCTGGCTAGATGATTTAATGTTCATTATTTAGCATTAATCTCACAGATAAAGCCAGTCCTTTTAGTTCCAGCCAGCACCCCTCTCTGTTCCCAGGGACTGGCAGTAAAAGGCTGGGGCCGTAGGTCAGTGGTACAAATCTCTGTAGACAGAGCCTGCCCCAGCGTGTTTGTGCAGAGTTTCCACTGAAGAGGTGTGGAGCTTGGAATCACGACTGGATTGGGTTCTAGCTGCTTTTGTTGCAGGGGGAAGTGAAAGCTAGAACAGACAGGGCTGCCCAAAGACTGCACCCCCAGTCACCCATGTTTGCGTCCTTGGATGCTGGGAAGCAGACGTGTTGTTTCCTGGCCCTTGGCCTGTGTGTGGCTTTTCAGGCCCCAGCTCACTCTGACCCCTCTCAGGAAAGACTCATATAACCTGAGAATTGGGGCCAACTCAGCACTTCTGGGAAACAAATAGCGCTTCTTCCTTCTACTAAAGCCCAAAGGAGCCTTGACCATGAGCGTTATCTGCCCACCTGAGGGCAGAGTTTGGTGCTGGACCAGCTGTTAGGGTGGGGGCAAGCTGAGGCAGAGGGATCACCAGTTCAGGGCTAGTCTGGACAACTTAGTGGGATCCTGCCTCAAAAGGAAAAAAATAGTTCTAGGTTTATTGTTGAAGAGTTACATGCATAGCACAGAATGGTCATGGAGTGATTAATACATACTTCTCATGGACTAGTAGCACAGATCTCTTTCTCGTTTTTGATGCACACTTCTTTTTTGAAACAAAATCACTTAATCTCTCTGCATATCTGTTTCTCTGATTCTTAGAATTTGTGGTTAAAGGGAGTTAGATGACTTGTCTGAAAATGGAAACAAATGGAAAGCTTTTTCCTCTCTCTCTCTCTCTCTCTCTCTCTCTCTCTCTCTCTCTC